GGAATGAGCCCTGGTGTTCTGCAAGCTGCAGGAAGAATTCGAGCAGGGCAGGGGAGGTTTAGGAGCAGAGGCGCAGCAGGAGCCCGGGGCAGCGCTTGCCTGTTTCCTCCCAGGCTGCGGTGGTGAGCGCGGCAGGGCGGGTGTTTATGCGCGTCCTAGCAACCGCACGCGCTGGTGTACCGGTGCCCGGCGACACTGCAGGTGAGTGGCCGCGATGGCTTGCACCGCGATGGGGCTCGCAGCCTGGATTTCCTTCGGGCCTCTCTGTCTCTTTCATCTCTTCCCCGTTGTTCTGCGTCCCTCTTGGTCCAACTGTGGTGCCTCTTCAACCCGCTCAGATCTTTCTCTCACCCTTTCCTCAGCCTCCCTAGTCCCTCTGAGGTCTTCTTCCTACCTCTTTCATCCTCTTGGTTCCTCTCCCTTCACTCGCTTTCCTGCTGCCCACGAGCTGGCCTTCCCCTCCTCCTTTCCTGTCCATTCCCAGTCTCCCAATGTGGTCCCCCTCTGCCCTCTGCTTGGCCTTCTGCTCTCACCTTGACCTTCTCTGCCCACCGCCCACCGCCCACCTCTTTCAGCACCTCCACCACCACATCAGGGCACTCAGAGCTCCAGCCTCGGGTTAGGGTTTGAAATGTGCCCCCTCTGTGCCTGGGTCCTCATATCTTCATGCCACAGGGTCGAGTTAAATCGCACCTTGTTCATCAGTTCTGAAACTCCTTTTGCTACTTTTGCTGAGTAGTTTCTTCATGCACAGAGTGGCCACTCATGCCTGACTCTCCATAGATGACACACTTGGAGATTTACGTAGTCTCTCAGAGAACTGGATTTGTTACAGAGATTATTTTCAAAATTGTTCCGTTTTGTTAATAATAAAGGGAGCTCGTGGGTAGCATAAAAGCAAAATCCTATTAGAGTTAAGAAAACTAGTAATTAGTCATTACAATTTTGCGAACACACGTATATTTTGTTCCTTTCTAACTCTGAACTTAGAAACATTAATTCAGAGATATGTGTCATGTATTTGCTATAGCCGTTAAGGTTAAAAAAATAAACTAATGGATTGCCGATAATGGGGCTGGGGGACACTATAGTAGTTGCTTGTTTGAACATCACCTGTTTTCTTTTTTCCCCTAAGAGTACTGCTCTTGCTTTTGGGATTGTCCCAGAGTCTAAGGCATTCTTAGGGCTCCAGCTAATGCTCTACAGAGGTTGTCCATTGCTGGGCTCCTTGTCGTTGAATGAGAAAAGGAATCTACATAGATTTAAATGTGAGTTGAATTTACATTTCTATAAAATTTATCATGAGCAAAAGAACTCTCTGCACGTCTTAGTTCCTTTTAAAGTGTCCTCTAAGAAGTCCCCAGAGTGTGGCCTGACCGCCACAGTCATGTGTAATCTATCATTTTTCTTTAGAAAGATTGAAGGGAAGAAACGGTGCAGACACGTTCTGAAGCAAGGGTTATACTTACAATTAAATAGAGGCAGACTGTACACTGAAACTCTTCTGGATAGACAAAGCATTTGCACATTCTATTGTTTGTACTTAGTCTCAGAACACTAGGGAATGAAAGTGTCAGGCACACATGCTCATGCATTTGACATCAAAGCATTTTCCTTTAACTAGCAAGAGAAAAAGAAATCACAGAAAAATCCGTACATTGCATTTTGCCTTAACTAACCACCCCCCCGTTGTGTGTAAAGGAGAGAGAGAGAGAGAGAGAGAGAGAGAGAGAGAGAGAGAGAGAGAGAGAGAGAGAGAGAGAGAGAGAGAGAGAGAGAGTCAGAAAGCCGAAAGCCTGAAGGGACAGAGACTCACAGGAAAGTGATTTTCTACAACACCTAGATATTGTAACAAATACCTAGTAATGACACCTTAGTGTTCTAAAACCAAGAGTACAGATAATAAATAACCTTACATAGGTAATATAAGTTTAAACATAGGTAATGCTCTGTGAAGGAAAAGAATTGTAAATGTTTAGGCATCATTATACTAGACTATCTTAAGGAGTTATCCATCGTGAGATGGAATTACCTGAATGTGGTATACCTCCAAACTCAGGATGACACCAGTGTGTCAGAATGGAACTTAAATTTTGTGGCTGACATTGTCATGGTAGTGTGATTTCACAAGGCATCTGAGCTCTTGACTAAAACTCCATGTAGAGCAAAGTATGCAAACGTCAGTTTCAGTTATATGACATCCCCAATCCTGAGATATCCAGTGTACATTAAAACTGTGAAAAGTTTTTTTGTGACTTTCCTAAAGTTGAGGGAGATTTTAGGCTGTGGTATTGCTTATCTGAAGTTTTCTAAATACCAAAGATTTTCAGCAGAATTCTCCTTCTGGGCATTCTTAGGCATAAGAAGAATATTTGTATCCTTGGCACTCACCACTAAATGCCAACAATGTCTCTTCCTGTCATTTGGTGACTATGAATAGACATGTCTATAGTATTACTGCCCTGCATCCCAGCAGGAAATGGTCCCATGGAGAGAGCTGCAGGACTCCTGTAATTGGATTTCAAATTTTAATATGATGTAGAAAGTAAAATCTCCACTATTGTGTCAAACCTTGTGTTTCAAAGCCTTTGTTAAAATGACAGATAAGAAAAGCTCTGTTTATTTGTATTTAATTTTATGGCCATCTGATATTCTGGAGGGAAGGTTTTAACAGGTTTTACAAAATATAGATGATCTTTAAACAATACTACCATTGTTAATAAGTTGTTACTTTGTTCTTATTTAATGTTTCAGGTAGTCATTTTTTTTAAATCTCCTTTTACATACTAATTTCTGTTAAGCCAAAGTAAAATATTTTATTTTGATTTTTTTTAATTTTCTTGCTACACTATTTTGATAACAGTTTAGATAAATAGACTAAAAAGTCTCTGCTGTGTCCCTACATCTGTCACATAGTCTTAAGAAAGTAGATTCTATTTTGCACATGATCTACAAGCAGGGGATATGGGACTCCCTCAGATGCCCTGAATTGCACTTACTTTGGTCAAACATTAAGTATTTAATTCACAACAATTCACAATCCCACTTTGATCCTATTTTGCATTAACCCCAGAGGCATGTGAGAAACTTAAGACTCTTGGAAGAGGGCTTGTCTGCCTTCACTGCACCCGTGCAGACACTATTACTGTAAGAAAGTCAGAACAGCACATTTAGTTTAATTGCTTAATTCTAAATGATGTGTGGCTCAGATCAAATATGCGCGTCTCACTCAAACCCCCAGCCTCCATCAGAGCTGGGAAGCAACACTCTTACTCTTACTGCCAACCTCCCCTGATTCTCTTTTTCCATTCTTGAAGTTCTCTTTTTGAGCTTTCTGTCCAGCTGTTCTTTTTCTTAGACTCTTGGAAATTACAAGACATTATTAATTTTAGGGTAGGCTGATACTGGAAACTCCTTCAATACAAGTCAGTTTTATGTAGTGATGCTTAGCTGTTTTATTGCATTGAATAATGGTTAGTTTAACAATATAGACTGTAAGTTGAATAGTACTAGTGTAAAATCTTGAAGACGAAAAAATGTTCATGTGAGAATGTGGAAGCCTCTAACTCCTTCTATTTTGCTGTAGTGCGTGTTCTGAGCTTGACTCAGAGTATTAACAGACCCATGGGTGTGGCGTTGACCAGATCCGCACAGTGGACTGCCGAGGGGTACGAGACAGGAACCCTGGAGATCACCCCTCTGAACGAGTCAATATTGAATGAAATTACTAAGTTTATGGAGTCTTTTATTCATAAATATCCCCAAGAGGCAAAATTTGTTTTTGTAGAACCACTCGAGTGGGAAACAAATTTGGAGCCCTCAGCATTTGAATCAGGTTATATTGTCAGGTAAGCTACTTAATGGCTTCTAAAATTTAATAATAACTCTATTTACATTTTCACTGACTGGCTAAGGGGTTGGGCCTAATTAATAATCCCCAAAATGGGGGTTGCAAAGTGGAGATACATAGAAAACTTAAAGATATTTCAGGTGGCAAAAAAATGAGATTTATCTCATTTTAATGTAAATGTCATTTCTTTTTGATGGATGCATTTTCCAGATCTCAGTTTCCATTGTCTGATCCTTTTTCCTGCTCACATTCCCACTCATCTGTATGACCTTCTGGATATTAATAGTTCCTGGTTTGTGATGCCTGATATAGCCAAATCCTTATAGTATTTAACTATCTCATTCTCTAGAATGGCAAGAGGAGGGTGGAGAATTTTGCTCAATACAAGAGAAAAAGACCCATGTTTTGTGTGTGAGAGACATGTGCTTTGCTAATAATTCTACCCGTGGTCCTTAAGGAGAAACTCTTAGGAAAGAGTCTTTCAGATATGAGATTTATAAAGATTCTGCCTCTAGCTCAAAGAGTGAGATATCAGTTCATCTCTTTTGGATATGTGTGTGTGTGTGCATGCTTATGTATATGAATATATAATAGCCAATATTAGATATGCATATATGAATCACTGTATGCTGTGTTTGAGTAGTAAGCAGGCACAGGTGTGTATTTACTTGAGGGAGCACTGTCACTTAGTTATGCAGCTTGGTCACTCTCTTTCCTGTGACCTGCCCCCTTTCGAGGTTTACTTTCTCTCTTAAAGACAGATCACATAAAAAGCAATTTCCGAGCTCACTGAAGCTCCTTGCAGATAGCTTTCCTCTTTCTCTTGGGATTATTTGGACAAGAAAGTCAAGATTTCATTTTCACAATTGCAAATCCATTCCTGAGCTGCACTGAAGAGCTCTTTAGTGCCATGTCTCCCTTTTCTGTAGTTTTGCATTTTTAATGGTGCGGTGAATATTTGCCAAGGGTCACTATCTGCCCTAGTGTTCCTCATTTGTATATTACTGCCTAATTCTTGGTTACTTCATTTAAGTTCAATTTTTTAATTTTGAAAGATGAACTCAGCTGCAAAACCAAGTAGAAACACATTAACTACTTTGTACAAAGATGGTTTTACAGCAGATGACAGAAGAATTGTCATCATATCTGGCCTCTGCACTACTTATACGTGCCAAGTCCAAACATGACCACATCTGTCTTCTTAGTTATTGGGTATGCAACACACTCCTCAAATGTGTCACTGTTTTCCTTTCTCTTGAATACATTTTTTTACTTAGTTTCCATAAGTAGTCTCTGCCTGCAGTCTTCCTGCATGCTGTCCCCTCCTAAGCCATACTTGGGCACTTTGAAACATGTGTATCTTGAAAACATCAGCTCCTGGATTATGTCATTTCTGTCAACTTTGTTGTGAAACTCTCTGCTTTTGCTGTTCATTGCTTTTGTTTTTGACCTTTACTGAAGCTGCCTTTGATGTTGGATGAGAGAGGCTCAGTAGTATCACTTACTGGGAACTAAACTGTGCTTCCTTGGCTCTGATGAAAACCAGATGGGTACTGACTGCCTTAACGAAGGCAATATCTAATTTACAGATAAGACCTTGTTAATAACAGAAAATACTAAATGATTCATGCTTAACTCCATCTTAAGCATGTTTTACACACCAGCTTAAGGAATGTTCAACAGCCTATAGTCACTTTTCAGTTAGTGTGACAAAGTACTGGAGACAATCAACTTGAAGGAGGAAAAGTTTGTTTTGGCTCATGGTCTTTGACACTTTTCTTTCCACCCCATTTTGTTTTTGTTGTTGTTTTGTTTGTTTAGAACTGTGATGAGGTAGCAGAAGTATGTAGTGGAAGAATACCCTGTGGTATCTGGAAAGAAAAGAAAGAGTTGAAAGACACAAAGTCCCAGTTATTCTCCTCAGTGTCGTACCTCTGGCACCTTAGTTTCCTTTCCTGTCACTGTGATAAAATACCTTGACAAAAGCAACTTAAGAGAGAAAGGGTTTGTCTGCCTCACAGTTGTAGGCTATAGTCCATTATGGAAGGGGAGTCAGACTGGCAGGAGGGAGCTGATCA